TAGTTGATTACAATGACTGGAAAAAAAATTGGGGTGCCCATGCTCGTTGGTGAGCTAGAGCCATTTTTCAACTGACAGAGCTCAATATCAAGACAAATCTGTCATGTTTTCAATATGCGCGTGCACAAGCGCACGCTAATGACGCCATAAATTATGCGCAGTAAGGATGCACAATGCAAATGTGAGGAATGACCTTAATTGAATATAATATTATTCTTTTCCAGTCTTGTTATAGACACCTTTTTGCAATTATTTTGAGGGGTTGGTTAACAATCCAAAGTTCAGAACATTTAAACAGCACTTGGCCTCTTTATTGTCTTTATTCCTGTATACTCACATCAGCAAGGCAATGAAATCTGAAGAGCGCAATTAGTAACTGAAGTGACTTACGTGTAGATTGAGGTGTTCCTTTTCCTTGGACCACTGCTCTTGGAATAAACAGAGGTGGAGGACGGGGTTTCTTAGAAGATGAAATAACTTTTCCCTTCTCTTCTTTCTTTGATGGAGTGCTCTCCTCTGATGACATCTTTGTTTTCTCTTTCTGGCTAAAATGGCATTTTTCGTTAACTGAAGAACCGTCAATTTTTGCTGGAGACTGCGAACTCTCTGACTGAGTAACAGTGTCTGTCCTTTTGTCAGAAGAAGCGATTGGAGACTTGATCTCTGATGGAGCATTCACGTCTGTGGAGCTACTTAACTTTGCTTGCATTCCAATATTCTCATCCTTCTCTCCAAGTTTATTTCTGTCCTGTTTTGTCTTGCTCAGATCTGGTTTGTTCCCCTTGTTCACAGCTTTGTTTGAGATGGTAAAAGTGAACTTGGATCTCTGGGACTGTGAAGCCAGGGGTGCAGTTTGGGCAGGGTTTGTTGTTGATGTTGTCAATGGTTTGGTCACAGTAGAAGTTGATGGCGGATTACGATGAAAATGGATCCCAGATTTGACAGGAGTTCCAAGATCTAGAAAGAGTAAAGATTAAAACAGCAAGGCTACTACCACCTATACAACTTCCTTATCTTGTGGTTGCAAGTTAAGGGATTTCAGCAGTATTCCAATTTAAACAGGTCTTACACAAAGCAGTAGACAGGATGCCTCCCCCCCCCCCCACCCCTCTACAGAAATCTTTGAGATGAAACTTTATGAAATGGTTTTCCCCTATTTCTTGAGACTGAAGGAAAAATTTCCCAGAAACATGTCCTGAGTTCGTTTAATGTTGATGACACACTGATATTACATGTATGGACCAATTCCCTAAAATATTTTGTACCATCATATATAATCAGTGCAGGTGAACTTACCATTTGGTTGGATGACTTTTGGTAGATGTTCTTTTGGAGTGCCAGGAGTTTTCATCAGTGGTGTGGATTTAGGCGAGTTCAAAGAGGGTGACTAAAAGATGAAAACAGTCTGTATTCAGGTCAGAGTGTCCCAAAAGCCCAAAGCTCATCTGAGTTTAAATAGAAGGAAGGAACTGGAAATATTGCTTCACTCCCTGAATGACATACTCCACCCCCTCCTGCCGCTCACCAGCACCTTGCTGTACTCCTAAGTGGTAAGACGCACTGTGAGAGTGCAGTGTGAGAGTCCTAACTAAGCATGCACACAATGAACATGGCCTGCACTTCAACTCAGAACCACTCAATCCGGAGAAAAGTGCACTAACCAATAAGGCCAATCACAATCATGTAAATACTCTTGATCTATTTATAGAAAATTCAAGCAGGAGGTGGGACAGTAAAGGGCTGATCGTCTCAAACTCCCATGGGGGTGCCAAGAGTTTTGCACAAAACATTTAAGAAGTAAGTAGAGGTTGAAGGCTGAACACCATGGCACTTGAAGTGTTAAAGGAGCTCAATGTGTGGGTAACACTGAAACCTAGTAAAATTATTTCTGAAACCAAAGAGCTGAACACTTCATTCGATCATGGCAATAGCATCAGAAATAATATTATAGGCCTGGATTTGAGATTTACAATCGGCTTACTCCCTTATAAACAACAATCAATTTCCTTTGACAAAAAATTGCAACCTTAAACCGTACCTTTAATTCCTGTGCCGCAGTAAGTTTGGTATAAAACAACAAATAAGCTTGCTGAGAGAGTACTGCTTTCAATGTGACCTGCCGAACCTGGTGAGAAATGTACTTGTTAGAAAATTCTCATGAAAATAGTAATTTAATATTATAATATTACAGTGCAGTATTGAGGAATAGTGGATGAACATTCTAGCTAAGAGACCATTAGAAATCTGTCTCAAGTCAGCAGTAAATGGATGATTACCAGTGAAAATCATGTCTACTCAGCTATAAATTTATAGGCGAATCTTTGCTGACATCACTGTGTACATTTTTCCTCATTAACATATGACTTTGCACAGAGAAGTCATCACGCCTGACACAAATTGACTACAAACAATTAAAGAGCTCGTGAAACTTAGCAATTGGTGAAAATTTTGGCTCTTTGGGTGTAATATTTGAGGAGAAATTGGCTTTCAAAAACTGCAAAATTTCTGGGTGGCAAAAGCGCTAAAGAGCTCACACATTCTTTGCAACATTTTGAGTTTTTAAACCCACTTTGCACAAAAAGTATTCAATACATCGGGCTCAAATTCCTCTGGACAGTTAGTTGTGCTGTGCCCTGTCAATATTCAGAACTAATGTTCTTTGTAGCACCATCAGAAACTGTATCGATTATGCTAATGAGGTAAATATTGTAAACAAAGATTCTTCTTTTATAGAGCATAATAGAACCACAACTTACAATGGAATCATTCATCAGATACCATACGCCATTTGAAGCTCTGACATAGCAGTAATAATGACCCGAGTTGGATGAGTAGCCAGAATGAACCAGCACTGCATACAAACGGTACTTGATAGGGGCACCCTACAAATTAATAAAGATAAACACGCTGAAGTTAGTTAAGTTAGAGCTTAGCTTGTAGAATAGCAATTTAGAGTCAAAACATATACTAATTATATACACATGTATGTTCATGTAAAGATGCCAACCTAAAAGTTGATTCCAGCAGCAAGCTAGACTATGAGTAGTCTCTCTTTTGCTTACTCCGTTGTGCATGATATGAAAGAAAACCGCAAGGAAAAAATGGCCACACACCGCCACTTTTTTCCTCATGGTTTATTTACATGGTTTATTTACAGGATTCTGACACTATTATACAATCATGCAACCAAGGTCATTTTCTCTAAAAGACTTGAAACTGACTCAAAAACACACCCAGCCATATTACACAAGGTCAAGTTTTGATATCAATAAACTCTCTATGAGCCGATCTTACCTGTGATGTCATGTATGGTCTCAAGTTCAGATATTCTGTATATTCAATTTGCTTCGTTATCTTCCCTCCAAAACTCTGATTGTAATCAAACCTGTGATAACCAAGTTTTTTTAGTGTCCCATTGGCAATCAGTACAAATAACAACTGATAATGTTAATAGTCACATGTTGCAAATCTTATCGACATAACATAAACAGATCAACACAAAAATAAAAACAAATGTTCCTTGCATACCTTTTTAATTGTAATGTTAAAATGTTTGGTGCACGGTGTATCAGGAACTGTTTGTTAGCGGGAACTTTTCTCTTGCACCTGAAAATGAAGACACCATCAAGACCTTAGTGATATTAAAGGAGCTCAGTCACGGTATTTTGAGTCATTTTGGCCACATACAAAATTACCTTTAAATGGTAGGAAACCTGAAAATAACAGTTTAATAAGACAAAAAAACACCAAAGAGATAATGATAAACCATAAAGGAACAAGGATGGCTAAGGATGGAGAAGATTAACACGGATTACATATGACAAATTTGAAAAATTGAGGCTAAACTTTTCAATATGTGCAAACCATGACTGAACCCCTTTAACTTCCAAGAGTTGCACTTCAGTTGCTTCACACTAGCAAATACAAAATGACTATTTCACAATGACTGCTAACAACAGGCTTTGACCACCAAATTAACAACAGGTATTTCAAGTCAAAAGATCAGAAATCACTGTTCTGGTACATGTAATCAGTTACATTAAATTTACTGACAAAAGAATTTGTTTGAAATCAAACCTTGGACACATGTAAAGGTTCTCTCCATCTAGTAATTCTGTTTTTACTGATCTTTGCAGGGCTCTCTCTACTGTTGGTACATGCTGGAGAAACAGAAGAAATTACTTAACTGGAAGATTATACAATAGTAAAACAAAATGAGATGACGACGTGCATATGAATAGGGCAAAAAGAAGTGTCCAACACCTTATCTAACTTTTTCAAAGTTACCTTGATGTCCAGCATAATGTCCATAAGAGGATCAAAAGTGTTTGAATTGTTCTTGCACTTTAAACATTGAACTGTGAACAAATGGAAAGGAGCAAAAAGATAATCACATGCAGAGCTAAAGACAAAAAGGACTACTTGCAAAAAAAACTGTAGACATGGAAGAAAAATGTACAAAAATCTTTGACCGCAAAGTAGCTTTAACTCGTCAATATTGAACAGCAAAACACAGGAAGACATTCAATAAACTAAGCAAAATTCTTTAACTTTTCAACTTACCCTGACTTCTGTAATAACCTCCAAACACTTGATGCACCATTGTTGTATGTTTGGACATTCTGTCAAGCCTGTATGTCAATAATACAAAACTGTTAACTAGGGAGGGGACATGCAGCTAACAGTAGCAGGGATAATACCATCATTTATTATACAGACATGTGTTTTACTGGAAAATACACTACTCATAAAATTCATATGAAACAACATCCAGGACCTGGTGGCATATTTTCCATACCCTCACTAGTGCAGATATTGATGAAGTCATTTCACCCTTTTTCACTGTTCTTTGTGCCAACATCAGTTTGTCCATACAATGAAAATAAAACTACAAGGTGGCTTGAAGAAATGAATTTTCTATTTTCTCAAGTTCAGGGCTTGAAAAAGACTTGAACTCCAGTTTGCCCTTTGAGCAGGTACCTACCAAATTTTGCTTACCCTGGGCAAGGCTTAGTTTGCTCTTTATTGATTTAATTGACATATCTGAGCCCTTGCCCGTTGGGCAAATGAGAATGTAAAGTTATTTGCCTGGCAAGAAAATTGCCCCGGATGACCACATGACACCTTTTTTGAGCCCTAATGTTAAAAACAATATTTTACCACTCGAAAATAAAGTTCATACAGATCTTCGCACTGCCAAGGAATATCCTCTATATATCAAGTTTTGAGCCAAAAGAGTTTTATAATAAATGTAACTATGTACAAATCAAGTATTTGTTATTATATTTATTACACTCACTTCTCTGTGTATCCATCAGCTGCCAGACAGCTCTTCTGCATGCCATCAATCACGTATCTCAAGAATTCATGTGCATCCTCTTGATGCCCAAATCTTAAATGTTTTGCAATGACTAGGAAAGAAAATTGTTTTGTATCAGCTATTGTGTTAAACACTGGCTTTGTGGAGGTCCCAATAATTAGCTCACTAGACTCCTGACTGACTTACAATGCAGATTTCAGTACTAAACAGGGTCACAGTGCTGTATTCTTGAGAATATACAATGCACTCAATTCTGGCAGTAGCTCTCTCAACCCAGGAAAATTCATTGGTACTGGCATGAAAAACTGCTAATAATAAACTGCTTTCTGCATTGAAGTGATTGATTGCCGCAAAATTGTCTTTTATTGACGTCATTAAGGCAAAATGAAAACAACGCTATGCAGGCACTGATTGGTGTATTCGGACAATCATTTTTCAAGAATTGTTAATTACAATACCTTGTTTGGTGGTGGGGGTGACTTTCAAACCAGATTATTTCTAGTTGATTTTTTTCTTTATTTTAAACTTCAACAATCGAAAGCAAATGGTAGACAGTTTAAAATAACTGACAAAACAAACTTTTGATAGTCTCAGTCTTCTTTCTGAAAAGAAGACTGGCTTAGCCTGAGCATTGCACCCAACTGTGTGAGGGACACCTGGCTTGCAGACCAAAATTTAGTAAACAAGCCAAAACAGATGACCTGAAAAACTTACATTTAAGTTTCTGAATGATGGCCATTGGTTTGATGGCCTCTCCTTGGTGATGACTGAAACTCCTCACAATGTGTTTTTGTAATTCACACAGCATACAGAATCCCACTGAACGACCTATCACAAGAAAAAATGAATTCATTACGGTCAGTCAAAGGTTTAGCAATCAAGACACCTAAACTCAATTCATGGATTAAGTTTCATTGGTTCTTCTTAGAAGTCTGACTGAATGATTGACTGAACTTGAATTACCAGTATGTGTAGGTCCTGCAAAAGAGCATGTAAAAAGAGTACCCTTTCCCCAAACACAAGCCTATGGGCTTATCTGATCTGAAGTTTGATATAAACAGCGGAAACACTCAACCCATGAACACCTGACATTTTTTGTAATTTTTTAACAAACTGCTAACATTCAAAACATGTTTATCTTTAAGAGGAAAGCTTATCATGTCAAATGCGTTTAAAAAACCGCTCCAAATTTGTCCTGATCACATTTCATCTTCAGCTGATAAACAACAGCTATGCTGACAGTTCTGTGGCAGACAAAAAGCATAACAAGTTTTCCTCTTGAAGATAAACATGTTGTGAAAGAACATCATGTAATAGGAAAACGTCATGACGTCACACACGAAAAATGTCCTCACGTGGTGCATTTCAATGTACCATGTGATTGGTTTAAAACAAATTCACAAGCATACCTAACCATGCTAACTGCAAGCAAACAGAAGAAATAACCGACCTAACCGTGCTATAAGCCAATGAAGGTAACCATGTACAGCGGTTCATTAACACATCTACTTTATGTAAACAACATCCAGGCAGCCAGCCCCACACTCACTCAATCTACACCCGTGATGTAGCTTCTCCCCCTCCAAAAAGCCTGATAAACAAACATTTGCACAGGCCTGCCTGACTGAAATTTTTTCTTTTTGCTAGAAACACGCAATGTTTGCACTGTATTGACTAATTAACCCCTACCTTACAAATGTAAATTCATGTAAAGATTAACAGTAAAGACCAATAATTAGATTATTTGATTGTATTAAAACAATGCAAAGCAAGAGTAAACATTTTAAATTGAGCACTTCTATGTAAATATTAAATCTAAAATGATAATTCTGGATTGTATGATACGATGAATGGAAAAGAAAACAAAAAACCAGCATCACACTCACATTTTTCAGTGTGCTCTTTCGACGCCAGATAGTTCACCAGAGGCGGAGTGTACGTAAGAACTTGAAGAACCGAGTTTAAAAAACAAGTGTTTCCCATGTTATTTAAACCGGGCCCAACTCTTCGGATCTGCTTCCAGTTCAGCTGTACGTTTTCCTTACGAAATAAAACAACTTTCGGCGGAGGTAACTCGTCATTTGAATCTCTATCAGGAGATCTCAACGGTTCCCTTCGCTGATAACCGTTCGTGTGCTGCGAATTCAACGGAACATATTTCTTCTTCAAGTCTTCGTATTGTTGATCCGGTTTGGACGCGGGTTTGAACTCAATTCTTTGTAACAAAACCTTTTTAGAGGACGACACAAGCTTGGCATCAAGATCCGAAGCTAGTTTGTTTGCAATGAGTGAATCTTTTGAAAAGTTCGTAACGGAAGGCATCACTTGAACGGCGACGGAACTCATCTCACACGTGGGTGACCGACGAACCAGGCAAAGTTAGCTTTACACGTACAAATCTTTTTCTCCTCAGCACGACAAATCTTCAAACTCTTCCACTCACAACCTCCTCGCAGCAACCACTGTCTCACTGTAAGTCTCCTTTTCAATCTTTCGCTATTTCCAACGTTTTCCTGTGAAAAACCTGTTTTTAGTGTAGTTTTGGGTAACGTTTTCGACGATCTTCACAGCTGCAGCGAAACTTTCACAAATCCAACAATGACACGGATTTCGTGGATGAATCCTGCTAAACTGTCACGTAGAATATCATATACATAAAAAACCTGTCAAGAAAAATGCAGCTAAGAAACAAATCAATTTAAACTCATCCTAAAAATGGCATAAAAATCGGTTGTAAGATCGTTGGGACTCGATCGAAAATGGCCGCCGACAATCCCATAATGCCTTAGAAGCATCAAGATCAACACGCTAGGTATTATAACTCTTTTGAACAACAATAAACAACGATTTCAAACAATAAAAGCCACAGTGACGGCACGAAGGAAGACGAGCGTATTCGTGGCGGGAGCGGAAAAAAACAAAACAAACAGAAAATATTATTAACTAAATATATATATATATTTTTTTATATAGTCCACAATGTAAACTACTGGGTTACCAGTAATTGTGTCAGCTATTAAAGTGTTTTATTTATTTATTATCTCACCTTATCTCGCTTCCCGCTTCTCGTCTCGCGAGTGTTTCGTGTTCTAGTCACGCTGGTCACACTTTGCGCGAGAGTTTCTCTACCCAGTCCCTCGGCAGAGAGAGTGCATTTCCTATATAATTCATTTATAGTAAATCAAAGTGCTGACCAATTGCAAAACCATATTGTTCTGGGTTAATCTAGTGTGATATTATGTTCACTGTAATACAGTGATTATTAAAAACTGAATCACTGGATAATGCAATTCAAGAGTTTTCATTGGCTTCGCCATCATGGTCTATACGAGCCACAAAAGCCTCTATTTCGGGAGATAAACATGTCTGGATATTTGTCCCCTGACATTTTCTGTTCCGAAGAGCTCACAGTTTTCCGAGAGCAAAGCTTGAGGAAAACTGTGAGCTCCTAAGAACAGATAAACTCCAAGGACAAATATCTGGACATATTTTCAAAGTCAAATGGTGGTTATTGGGTTTATTATCGTTCTAAGTTTTCGCAACACCTGGAATCTTAATGTTGGGGAATATTCCCTAGTTTTATATTAACTGGGTCATATTCAGTCACGTGACACGTTAAGACCAATCGCGTGCGAGCGAAAATCTACAAACATGGCGAGCGCACGCGTAAATTTTTGGGGCGTTTTTATTTATTTTATTTATTTTACAGTAGAACCTCCATTAACGGCCATCTCTCTACAACGGCCACTTATTTTTGTTCCGGCAGACGGTCCATATGTTCAATCTTATTTAAACCTCTACAACGCCCACCTCTGCACAACGACAAACGGCAACAGCCACAAAAACTCACTCCAATTCCGACCAATTTCGGGGAGGGAGAACGCCCTAAACTTGGCAAAAGCTAAAGAAAGCCTTCTACTGTAGTCACATGACTGCGTGAGGGCTCCCAGGATGAGGGCTTGAAGTAATTTCTTGCCTCCGTGCGTGGTCGTAATTTTCCAAGGCAACGCTTGCAGAAAACGAAGTCCCAGGTGTAACGGAAGTTGCTCGAGCGGGAAACCTACTCAAGTCTTTAACCACTTCCAGCCAAACCGTCGCTTCCAACATCTAGAACTGCCCTGTCTTGTGAATGAGTGTTTTTGTATGTGGAGCCTCCTACAATTTATCGATACAAAATGTATACAGCTAATCGGTTACTTATTCCGGCCGCAGAATTTCCTTTCCTGAACAAAATTTTAAGCAGAAAACGCCCTAGTTTCAAGAGAGTTGCCCACCGTTGGAATACGCTGCAATTTACGAGCAGACTCATTGATGGCCCGTTTACACGGACGCGGTTTCATTTGTTACAGCACTTTTTTTTCCGATGAGGTTACGCCTTCCGCTTACCCGGCGGCGCTGGAATAATTAATGAAACCGCATCTTTTTGAAAACGCCGTTGAAAGTGGAGCGTTTTCAAAACGATAGGTTTTCAAGCGCCCTGTGAACGGGGGTAACGATGGCTTGTTGAAAACGACTTCCGTTTGGCTCGAAAATATCTCAGTTTATTACATCTCTAAGTTAGTACGTGCGCTGTCATTGGTCAATTTAGCGGGCCGTATTCCACTGTATGGCCCGCTAAAATTTAAAGCTGTTTCTGTTTGCCAAAATGTTTCGTGGTTTATCGAGCCCGTCAAATACACAGTAGAGATATAATAAGTATCTTACTAACCTTGTTTTGTCGTCCATACTGTAATTTACGCATTCTCGATTTTCCCTTCGATTTATGGCCCAAGCAAGCGGGCATAAATCGATGGGGAAAAAACTCGGTCCGTAACTTACCGTACGGCCCTCGAACTCGGTCAGTACGTAAGAGGTATGTATTTTTAATGTTTCGAGTCCCAATTAACATTTTCTGCACTTTTGGCGACTTTTCATTCGTTCGTTATTCTTATTCAGTCCCATATTTCAGCCAAAATTGCCTTTCAATCGTAGTCCCATTGCACTAACTGACTGGACCTGCCAAACTTGCAGTGAGGGAAATGAAGGAGGACAGCAATGGAAGTTTGAGAACTTTATTTAGTGACCTTTAAAACGTTAGAGTTTAGTACATGACGGTGTATTGTAAATTAGAAGTGTGTGATAGTCACAATTCGTCCTAAGATTGTCTTGTTAGATCGTCTCCAACACAATGCCGAGGAATATATGCATATTAATTTGATTGCAATATGGGCATAATTTGAAAGAGGCCGTGCATTTTTTTTAAGTTTAATTGATATTCCCAGAGTTCCCTTACAGTTATAAACCTGCACGATCATGGCAAAACACACTTAACAAAATATTCCGCATTCACTGGTAAACCGCAGTAACAAATCAAACAAAGAGGGTTCCTGCCTGTAAAAAGACCCACTCTCTTGTAAACTGACCCAACACGAGAAATATTAAATCCGGCAGTAGTCGACAATCTGCGGTATACGTTTTAAGTCTTGGTACCTTAGAGCGGTTTTCACTTGAGCGTCGAAACTTGTTGGTTTTGCATTATTACGCTACACGATTGGCTGGAAAAACTCGCGCCATTTTTTTTCATCCAATCAGAAGTAAACCCTAAACCAATCGTGACGCGGTCGCACACGTTTTCCCTCGCTTGGCGTCAGCTACATGCAATTACTTCGAGTTTTGATTGGTTCACTGGATTGTATGTTCTTTGTGATATGTTAGAGTGACTACTTGGGTTTTGGTTTAACGAAACTCAATTGAAAACCGTTCTCTACTTTTCATAAGGTTAACTGCACGAAAACGTGTCGCAACAGGTCCCATTATTTTGACGCAAAAATGAAAATTTGAAATTTAACCCTCTAGGCGTTACTAAAAAAACTATTTTCAGCTCCTGAAACCCGTTTTCCAGATTTGCGCATGCCATGCCTAAATATTAAAGCTTGTTTGACATATCCTTTATAAATGTAAGTTATACTATAGATTATTTTTTGTATACAAATACAGCTGTTTTCTTTGACCCGATTCCTTTACCTTGACAAGTTTTACAATTACGAGAGTCAGGAGCTTTGTTAAAATACTCATCAAATTTGCCTGTCTTGCTTGTTACGCATTTTCTGTTGTTCCAGATGCCGAATATTTCGAGGGGCTTCGAATTTTCAGCAGCCTTTTGCTTGCATTCTTCGTAAACGGCCAAAATACCTGGGCACTTCTTATCAACACGGGCTGTAACTGTGTGGTAAACAATAGGCAGGAGTCGTTTCTTTGCCTTCTCAGTGAAACATCCAATCGGTTCTACAGGATTTCCTGGTTGTACAGGAACTTCTGGTCCTACAGGTTTTTCTGGTTCTAAAAGAAGACAAAATAGTCAAACCAGATTAATCACTAATGTTTGAGGTAAATGTGCTTCAAGAGGGTCCCCTATACTTTTTTCGTGACGCGTGAATGGGCCTTTTTTTTGCGTGAAGCGTGAATGAAGATTTTTTTTCCCCCGTGATTCGTGCATTGTCAACCTTTATAGTTAAATGACCATAAGGTTTCCATAGTTTAATTTTACAGTTACATTACAATCAAAACAACGTTTAGTTGCCGTAAAAAATGTCTGCCTTAGTCTTGGTATCGATAAAACATGTGTCCGTGACTTTTTATCTGAGAGCCCGCTTAAATACGGCTCAATACGGACACTCCGATAATACGGACACTTTGGCATGTACCCTTGGTGTCCGTATTAACAGGGTTCTACTGTATATGTATAATACCCAATCCACAAAAGATCTAGACATGCTGACGACGAGAGAGTCTGAAATTATCAAAATATGGCCATGTGCAGCTATATCTACTGTGGTACATTTCAGTATTGCCAGATACATTTTTGTAATGATTGTATTTGTATGTTTTGCGAAACGTGAATAGAATTTGCATTTTTACGTGAAACATGATTTAGCCTTTGCATTTTCGCGTGAAACGTGATTGCTTACTTTTTTCTGTGAACGTGAAGCTGTTTTTCGAATTTTTCGTGATGCGTGAAAAGGCCAATTACTTCTGCGTGAAACTGTTTTCAGAAGAGGTATAGGGGACACTCCTTCAATTCCTACCATAATCATATTTTCCGGCCCCGGGCAAACCGGGGCTAAGTCTGTGGACTGGGCCGGGATTGGGGAGATTTGTAAGTGATCTTGTCCCGGGGGTAAGGCTGGAGAAAATGAGGTCTCTAGTTAACTGAAAAAGAGGCAACTTCGTTTTAAATGAAGGGCCAACTAACGTTATAGAGATCAGCTTTTCAAACTCGCTAGAGCACTAAATTAAAATTTATCAACTTCGGGTAGTTAAATATATAAGTAATGAATAACTAGTCTAATAGGCTTCTACTTTAATAAAATCTCTGGCCCATTAAAATTATTAATGCAGCATAATTACTAGCCCGACTTAACTTCTAGATCAGAGGAATAGAATTTCATGGTTCAGGGGAAACGAAGCCTCAAAAGCGTCTGAAAACCTCATAAGCACAATTTACGTTATAGCAAAGGAGAGTGAAGAATATGCTAGCGAGTACGGTGTATAAATGTCTACATGGTGCTGCACCATCCAATCTGCGTTCTTGCTTATATCGAGGAGCGCGACGCTGCCGGCTCTTATAATCTTAGAGGGTATGCAAAGCTAAAAATGTCGGCAGTAAAAACCACCACGTTTGGTCTACATTCATTTCGATATCAACACCTCACGTATGTTTTTAACCAGAAGGTGAAATAATTTACCTGAACGATTATGTCTGTGTTATTTTTTATTTTTTTCGGAGATACTAGAATCATATTGCTCTACTTTTCAATCCGAAGCCAAATATAGTTTTTGTTGGTTTAATGAGCAAAACAATATAGATGTGCAGGTGCATTATAAATCTTTGTACATTTCTTTGCCGTCCCCTGCAAAACAACAGCGTGAAATGACTAAGTTTTGCGTAGTCTGAGGAATGCGAACGAAAACGACTTATTTTTCGCATTTTTATTTGGAATTGAACGCTGTCACTGCGTATTTAGCCTGAGTACGTTTTAAGAGCTATTGGCGTACCGATCTTGACAACTGCGAACCTGGCTGGCAAAATATAAATTCATTTTTGACTAGGCGTCGTCCTCTGCGTCGTCGTCGTTGCTTAAGCTCCCTAATGTAACTTACCGCAGGGTGATGAACCGTACATTTCCACTTTAAGACAAGGCTGCCGTTCCCGGCTGTAATCATAAACCCGAATTCGGAATCTGAAGTAACGAGCTTTTACGGGCGGCTTTATTTCGGCCTGATAGTTTGCTTTGAACACCTAAAGAAAAAGGTGAAAAGAAGCGTACATTAAGCGGCGCAACGTTTCAGGAAATTTGGCTGTGCTGACAATAAAATTCCTCAGGGAAACCACGAGTTCTTCAGTTCGTTGTATCCATCAGGTTAGGTTAGCCAAAATCTAATTAACATTACTAAATAGCAAGAGATTATGACCCTTGTTATGGTCTCTTGTTAATAAGCAACATTAGCAAACGCAAGAGTGCCTTTTATAAGGAAAATATCCTAACCAAAGGCGCTTTTATAAGACTACATATTCCACGTAGTTTCGCTCATCCGAAGGAAAGTTGCTCTAAGCAAGTCTTCCAACGTGAAGTTGGTAAATCTGCCCCATCCCCACCTTCCTCGGTTTGAGCGCGGTGCGCATGGAATTTTGGGCCCTTTCACCGACCAAATGCAACAAAGCCGACCTGGGGAGAAGGCAGTCAGTGAATTATTGCCTTAGTGGTGATACTTACTTTAAGGGTTTTATCATAATATCTCTTATCCTTTGATGTTAGAGTCTTCCATTTTTTCTCGTCGTTAGAGTATTCCCCGAAATATTGTAGTACATGAGAATCCTTTCCCTCCACTTTACGAACTGTTTGCTGGCATCCCAAGTCCACAGTTACATACTCCTTGAAATAATCATAGTCGGTTCTAGTCGCTGGGCACCAGGGCTCCTTGGACGCCGACAAGTCAATTTGTTCGCTCGGGAAACGTACGTTAGGCGCGGTCACAGATTCATTGTAAGAAGAGCTGGCACTGAATCTGTCTTTAGGTAGAATTCGAACAAGGGGTGTGTCTGAAAAAGAGAAAAAGTACAGAATATGTTAGTTTGGCGGCCCTAGCATGTATTTTGCAGTTTCCTTTGATTTCAAACCTTGAGCTTTCATATTATGAAATCTGCGGAAACCGCGTTTTAACGTTCAACCACTGTTCATAAAAACTTGCCCACCTCATTTACTTCGAGCATCATTGGCCTCTTACGAGAATGGCTTAAAATAAAACACTGTTTTTACATGTCAGGTACGAGCTTTGTCTTCAATTGGTCATAAAAGAACATAAAAAAACCTATTTATTTAGCGTCAATAACACAAGGAGTGGTTCCTCGGTCTCCCTAGCATGGTAAAACTGCTTCACCGCTAAGGTCATTTAACTACGCTATCAAAATATGCAAATTAAAGAAACGTGGGGAATCGGCAAGTAAGATAAGATAAGAACCTTTATTTAGGTGTCAAATGTATTTCGTCCCAGCGGACTAATTGGGGACACTAAACAAGAGCCTTAAGTACTAAAAAGAAAATGCTAAAATAATTAAAATTATCAAAATTATTTACATCAGGGCCTTAGGTACTAATAATGCTAAAATGATAAAAAGTATTAAAATTATTTACAATGTAATATATTCACTGCAAAGATTACAGCAATTACTGTTATTAGTAACATAGTCTGATAAGTCAAGTTTTCTGATTCTGTTTCAGAAAGTAGTTAGAATTGAGTCATCTCTTGTGTCCTTACTGAGTTTGAGCCATAACAAAGGTCCTAAATTTATATTTGATTTTATGTTTACCATGATGTGTTTTTAAAGCCATTTTCTTTCTCTCCCAAAGCTCGCTGATGCTATCATAACTCCTTGGAATCACGTAAAATGTGTTGTATTTCGTAGCTTTTTAATAATTGGCTCAACTAGAAATGTTTCTCGTTTGACAACTTTTGGTCATGTTTTTCAGTACTTTTAAGTTGGCTTACACGGGGGACAGTGAAACCAGTTAATTTCAGTTGCGTTGTCAATTTTTGTTTTCATTTAATTAGTAAAGTTCAAAGTGTCGGTTTATATGTGAAGTGTTAACTGTGTACACAATATCGCGTGCGAACCTCTACGGAGGACTACGCCAAAGTAATAAGCAACAGACCTGGTTCCTAGGTTTTTTTGTCGGCCCTTGGGACGAGGTTGCAACGGGCCATGACAAAGCCATGGCGATTTAACAAAGAATTGATGATCAAAGAAAAAAATAAATCACCAAAGACTGGTAGATACAAATTTCATTGACTGCTCCGCTTTATAAGTAATTGGAAAAATATCACATAAGAGTTTTTATTGTCCGTTGGATTAATTCTAATATTCGACTAAAAACTGAGAAACAACAAGATATTGACAACAGAAAGACTTCAATAAAGGATGTCCAGTTAATGGGACGCTGTCGGGATGATGACTACGAAAATTCAGAACCTAAAAAATAACTTTTCATTAAACGCAAACCCGGAAATCTGGTCTAAGTTTGAATCGCGTGATTAATCATTTGATTTCCTTGAGTTACAACTTACCAATAGCCGAGGACAACGGCACAATTATTATAAACAGCAAAATGGCCTTTGAAAACATGATTCTGACGATCTATAGAGAAATACGGGGTTAGTTAAGCCGTTACTACCTTATATTTACTGCTATCTACATTTGAACATTTCAGATTCAAACGTCTTCAATCGGTTCTTAACACGCTTAATATCACACGGAAACGTACATCAGTGTACGTACTTGTGCATGATTGCGAGAGCTCGTGTGGTGAAGGACAATCAACCGATAAAGTTGTACTGCAGAACTAAGGTCATGTTTGTCGATCATATATTGACCAGAACAAGGGCGCAATTACAAAGAAGGCCGATGAAAAGGCGGTAAAGTCTGCTTTCCACGCCTGTTACGCGAAACTGGGTCGATTTACAAAAAGCTGTCTTCGATTCCTCGCACCTCCTTTGAATACAACCCCATTCAAAAAAATTAAACACTTACTATATCTAATAGAAGAAATAACAGAGATAGAAAGGTCTGCAAACACTGAAATAGAGGGTTTTCAAATGCTAGAGATATCTCACCTGGGAGTCTATCTGATGCACGTTAGGTTCAGTTGCAAGCTACTGCAAGAGATAGGGGTGTTTTCTTCATATATACCTTACTGACGCACAGAGGGCAGTGAATGATCGTTAAGGCAACGGGTATATCTAAGGCAATAATGCAACTTATATGGGGGTGCATATCATATTATGGCAGGAATAAATTGACGTGTGTGACTGTCGGCTGTGAAAGTAGAACTGAATACTGTTGAAGCAAAAGATAAAATGAATATAGAACACGGACTTAAAATTGTGAAGGAATATCGTATTTTCACTAGCAAAAGTAAAATGAATGTCAGTTTTCTAATGAAGCCTTGTGACAGAAAGGTTAAAAAATTAAAAGCCAATTATAAAGCCAAAAGGCGAGATTGATTATGTAAGCATTATTTATACCTCCGTTTTAACCTTAGGAAAACAACCTTTGACTGATGTTTATTTCATCTTTATGGTGTTCGTCCACCTTGAAAACACGTGCGAAACGTAGAAATGCTGTGAGAATCAAAAAAGGGGACAAACGAATTGAATAGCACTTTGATTTAAAATCCACTTAACACCACTGAGTAATGGAACATTGAAGTAACGAGAAGATTCAATGAACCAATCATGGAATGAGCCTATATAATATTTTCATTTTTGCCTTTTTTCGAAATGTCGAAACGTCGGACAAATGTAATTTTAATATTTCTACTGAAGTTTTCCAGCAAATCTTTAGTCATAATTAATATGGCCAACCAAGAGATTATCAAGGTGGGCCAGCTTTTTCGTTCGTGAGCTCTGAGTTGGTGCGTGGAACTATTAAAAGACGTGCAATTAGTCCCTGTACAAGAACCAAAGCTTCAACGATTTTATGATCTATTTAATTATATTGTTTACTTGTCCAAATGCTTGTATAAACATTAAATGATGAAAATTGTTAATAGTGCGTGTACCGTGAAGGCAACCACGTGCCACAGCCACGTCTACTCTCCATGTGCTGGAGAAGAGGCTTATCGTGGTTTTGGAAGCCATCTTGACAGGTAGGCAGCACGTACAAAAAATCAGCCTTGTATGGAAATACTATGGCAAAAAGTTTTCTTAAAAAATTAATTCTGAAACATTTATAAAATAAATTACATGGTTTTCATACTGGTCCTCTATCCTGGTCGAGTTGGAATTTGGAGATGTTGGGTTTTTTTGGAGGAAGGAAAACCGGAGAACCCGGAGAAAAACTCTCGGAGCATGGTGAGCACCAACCACAAACTCAGCTTACATATGGCTGAATTGGAACCCTAGTCACATTGGCAGGAGGCAAGCGCTCTCACCACTGCGCCATCCCTGCTCCCCGATAAATAGCAAAGTTAAGGACACTAGAGAAAGGATTGCATTGACCAAATCTGAGGGATGTAGCTTTGCCAAAAAAACGTCCAGTCACATTTTTATATTTTCCAAAAATTTGTCTATGAATTTTTTTCGCAAATTTGTGCCAAAGGAGGAATATGTAATAGCAATAAAAATTCCTGAAAGGATCTGAACGAATGTACTAGCATAATCATGCAGATTATGCAGACTAACTGTCGCCGGCTTTCGCAATTTCTCTGAAAATCTATTCCGCCCTTTTACGAAAACCGCTCTATTCTCTTCACATGGCGTCAGTCGTGGGCAATTTCTACTCTTTATTTAACTAGTATACCACGTTTTATAAATCTTTAGGGGATAGAACGTGCCGACATTTCGGTTTCATTGAGAAAAAAACAAAAAAAAACAAAAAAAAAAAACTAGCCTTAGTCAGGGCAGCTGAGCGGGAAAGTTGAGCTGCCCTGAGAAAGGTAATAATAACATCGATTTAACGTTATCCAGGGTATTTAACCTCACGGAGTCTTCTGGGACTCTTCTGACGGTCATTCTTACGTAATTTAGCGTTGGTTGCTGCTATGCTTTCATATTGTGGGTAGCGCGTCTAACATTTCACTGCATTTGAAGGCACCTGTTTATTCTTGATTTTGCTTCATGCGCTTTCCAGTTGCTATAGCCCTCTTAAAAATTAGCTTTGATTTCATAGATACTGAGATTTACTCATGAAAATCTTAATGAATAAAATTCGTACAAATTCAAAGCTTCGCCAATCAAGAACGCGAACGACGTAATTTCACAAATGAGAAAGCATCGTTCGACCAATCAGCAACGCGAATGGTGAATGTTCACCAGTGATGAATGAAAGTGCAAAGCTGTACGTTTGTACAGAAAGCTGCTGCACCAAAAAATAAAAAAATAAAAATGAATATTCAAAATTTGGCCAAATATAAAAAATGACAAAGAATGAATATTCAAGATTTGGAAATTCAAGATTTGGAAATTTAAGATTTGGAAATTCAAGAATTGGAAATTTAAGATTTGGAAATTCAAGATTTGGTCTGCAAAATATTGAAAACTCAAGATTTGGTGTGTCAAATATTAAAAACTCAAGATTTGGTGTGCCGAGTATTGAAAATTCAACATTTTAATCTTATATTGTCTTAGTTATTTGCTGAAGGTGTTATCTCAATTTAGTTCTTTTTACTTTTAATTTCTGTGTTACACCTGAAATTGGAGATTGTCTTCACAAAAGCTAAGTGTATATACACAATAAACTTGACTTGACTTGACATTTGGTGTGGCAAACATGGAAAATTCAAGATTTGGTCTGCCAAATAGGCACAAATATCCTCCAGGAGGATAGGTTGGCTCAAACTGAGATGGCTGTGCAGCTCTCATGTTGGAAATAACAAAGGAAATCCGCGGCAGAACGACAGCTTTCAGCTTATATTGTTTACCAAACCAGTGTTCCCCATATCATATGTCACAGCATACCGCTGACACACATTACGAGCCCGCAATGAAAAGGCCCGATGAGCGGGAAAACCCAGTTTCAAACCTATTTTCTCGCGAAAACTAACAAGAAACGGACAGGAATAACTATCTAAACTCGACTTTACTTATGTTAGGCTTTCTAAAAGAATGTTACAGAAAATGGCAATTTTTGCCTTCAGTTCTCCTTCTCTCTATCACTATGGTCTAATTCCAATGTTCCAAATATGGGGCCCAAAATATCGTAAAGAATATTTTCCATAATGTACTGTGTGATTATTAATGGAGGAAAAATCGAAACAATTTTTGCTATGCGTTTTAACTGTTATTACTGCAGATTTCGGAAAAGGTTAATTAAGAGCGTATCATAATAGAAACCATTATTTTGTAGCAACAGAGAAAATGTAAAATGGAACTCTTGTAAGCGGCACCAAAATTTTAGTTCCAGAATCCCGGATTAGTCCAGGCTCTTTTGGGGTAGGGATGGTGCAGTGGTGAGAACGCTCGCCTTCCACCAATATGGCCCGTGTTCGATTCCGGCCCGGTGCCCGGTGTTGTTGGTTCTCGCCTTGTTCCGAGGGTTTTCTACAGGTTCTCCGGTTTTCTTCCCTCCACAAAAACCAACATCTCCAGATTCCAGTTCGACCAGGATAGAGGGCCTGCATGAAAACCGGCTAAGGCTGACGTGGCTTCCTTTCTAAATATTTAAACACACAAGGATCGCTAAATCGTGTCTGACAAGGTCCCTGGTAAATGTAAGTTATATTTAACAATTAGACCCGTAGCCCGCAAGGGCTACGGGTCAATAGTCCATGAGGCGAAGCCGAATGGGCTATTGACCCGTGGCCCTGGAGGGC